ACTCCTATACTCCCTGCTCGCCCACTCTCCCAGCACTCCCATTATCTCAGCACTCCCCTTCTCCCTCCACTCCCATACTCCCTGCACCACTCCCATTCTCCCAGCACTCCCATTCCCCCAGCACTCCCACCCCCCTACACCCAGCATCCCCCTACACCCAGCATCCCCCTACTCCCAGCATCCCCCTACTCCCAGCATCCGCCTTCTCCCCGCACCCTCATTCAAGGATAATGCCATCAGAGCGTGGACCCATGATACCCATACTCTGCCCTAGGGCAGTACCCTATGTTTCTGTCAACAGGTGTCTAGCTGAGGAAAACGCCGAGCCAGTGTGCCACCATACCCTGCGCTTTATTTCCACCACCCCCAGAGACACCAGGGAACGGCCGCCGGGAACTTCGACCACCACTGCATCGGCGGCATCTCGCCGTTCACCAAGACTTGCCACCGCTGCCACAGATGACATCCAAGCCCCAAGGTGTGTAATCAGAGCCGCACGAGAGGCTGCCCAAACAACACCCTTATACAAACACGTCGAGATAGCCTATAGAAATGCTACACACACAACTGGGGGTTGGGTCCGATGGTTGTTTGGGCTCCGTCCGTAGGTGCATGCAACGCCAATCCCCACAACCTAGAGTTGAGTGGTGGAGCGCAGACAGCTGGGCAAAGGGCGAAGGATTTGACACTCGCCAAAGATAAGTGTCGGATACCCCTCCCACGTCAGCCAAACTAGGGTATGCCTGGACCATGACCACTGCTGATGTTGCCACATGGTCAGCATCCTAAACTTCTTCTGCATACCTCCCTCAACAATGTGGAACCACAGGTGTGATGATAACACAGAGGACCAGGCTGCGGCTAGGAAGGCTAAACTTGAAGCAGCACTCATTGCATTGTGCAAACTCCACAGCAAAGCAGGGCACCACGTACATAGAGATATGCGGGCTCCCGTGACCTTCTTGCTTGCCGGCCTATCATCCCTTGCGGGCGGCGTGGGAGTTGCATCCATCTCGGACTTGTTATATCTCTACATAGAGGCGCACGGACCACTGACACGCAGGCTTATACGGGCCGCCCGCAAAGCAGGTGAGAGCAAGCTAACGTGCCGGGATGGGAACCCCATCCAGCGCAGTGTTCACTCCTACTTTTCCCGCATCGCAGAACAGTAACACTAACATGTGTGACGGCCTTTACGACGCAGGGTCAGGAGGGGAGAAGGCAGAAGCTGTTGTTGACCAGCACCTGAAAGCACACGGAAAAGATCTTCTCGGTCGGGTTGGAGGTGCGCCAGACTCACTGTTGGATCTGATCAACATGCCAACGGACCAGACCTTTGCTGGCCTGCATTACCGATTCCCTCCATACAAGGCTAGCAGGAATGGCAGGATAACAAGAGCGCGTGGGGTGGGATGGGGAGGAGCACGGCGGGGCAAGGCCTTCAACATATTGATCGAAGAAGGTAAGAGGAAACAGGTGCCGGCATACGCCTAGGTAGGCGCAAGCCGACAGTCCTACAAACACTGGATTGATGTCATCTCGCAGTATTTCGAGATCCCGAACCACCATCTTCTGCAAAAGCTGCCCAAAATCCCTGAATGATCTGCCTCAGTTAGCTACTTTGTATTGTGCAAACACGCCGATGCAGGGGCAGAGGACCAAACTGCTGCAGATCCAACGTCAACCAGACCCGGGACGGAGGAGGAAGAGGCGGTGACAGGTTCAGCGAGGGGGCATGCTGTACCGGCAGAGGGCTGTGGAGCGGATGAGGAGCCCGGAGAAGGTGACACGCTACCAGAGGATCCAGTTGGCAGCTGCGAGGAACCTCTGCCAACTGCGGCAACATGGACCCTTCGTGTTCCCATGGCAAGTGTGCATGAATCACTAGTAACACCATCCATGTATGCCATAAAGAATTCGGGCATAGGCTGCGTCCGATCATTTCCTTGCTTCTTCTAGGTACATGCGACAATTCAGAAACTCCCCTCATCCCGGGTAGATGGAGCCTCGGCTGGCAAGACTAGAACATTGACCACTGGGGCATGCCTGCTTGTCAAGCCCCCGTTTCTGCCATCCATGCAAGCACCCATATCCCCATGCAAGCCCCATCCACTCCCCGTACCTTTGGCTTTCCAGATCAGGCATCTAGCAGGGCTAGCAGGCCTAGGTGCAGCAGGGGCCGCATCTGGCATCGGCCTCTCTCGGGCCTCGATTCCAACCGCCGTGCAACTTGGAAGTGTGGTTGCTCCAGGAGCTCCAGCAACAGCACTAACCACATTCCCCGAAGGTTCAGCAGCTGCAGCAACTGCAACAGCAGGGGCAACATTCGCGGTACCAGCACCAGCTTCAACTGCAACCCTAGCCCTGACAGGTTCAACTTTTGCAGAACTAGCAGCAGCTTCAGCAGCCTTACCATTAGGCACAACAGACGCAACACCCGCGGCAGAGAAGGCGGCTGCACCAGTTGCAGCAACAGCCACAGCTGCAGCGGCAGCACATACCACCGCGAGGGCTGATTCCTGAGGAGTAGCAGGTGTTGCATACGCTGCCATCAGAGCATCCGCAACACCTGCGATAGCAGGCGCACAGGGGGGAGGAGCTGCAACACCTCGAAACGCGGAGCCCGCAATCATGCAGTCGTCGTGTGGGCGGCTGGCCGGCATGGCCCAGGCGGGCAAACAAAGGCTAGAGAGGTGAGTGGCTTGTTTGCATGATTGGCTTGCCACTTTGCATATGGGATGTGTCCACTGCTACCGGGAGGCATGGAGACTGCTAGTTTGCAACGGTACCCGCCACCCCATTTTATGTTGGCCCACGTTTGCAACCAACACTTGCCCTAATACCACCGCGTGCCAATTTCCCCACAACCCTGGTGCAGCAGGCCAGCAAGCCACAAACCGTCAGGGGCTACCAGCCACCAAACCCTACCTCGCGGATGGCAACCCCGCCCTGCTGGTTCGACCGATCCATCTGACACTGAGGTGTGCTTGCTCGATGTCCCGCATATGATCCGTTTTTTCTCAGACCATGCTCTAGCATGTGAGAAAGGGTCCGATTGCCAGGGCCGTATGCGATTGATGTCTTCAAAAGAACAATCAGGCACTTTGGGGCTTTTGTGGCATTGTGAGCGATGCGCCCACTCAAAGGAGTTCTGGTCTGGCCCGCGGAAGGTGGCAAATGGGACGCAAAACAAGCCAGGGCCCAGATCCTCGGAGCTAATGGACAGAGTAATAGCGGCTTTTGTGCTTGCAGGGGCGGGGTTCCAGCAAATGTGGGAGGTTTGTCGAAGTCTTGGGTTGCCAAATCTGGGGAGGGGAACATTCTACAGACGGCTGAATGGTGACGAGGGATTATGGAGTACCATAATCTCAGAGGCGGATACGTGCATGGAAGCAGCTCGTCAAAGCATGAGAGCTCGCCCGGTTCCCGGAGAGTTCGTATGCGTTGATGGGCGATGGTCACAAGCGCGGGAAGGAGAGTGGTGCACCGTCTCTTTTATCGACCGTGAAACCCGCAAAATAATTTATTACACGCTCACAAAGAGGGGTGTGGATGACCCTTCATCAGTAAAGTTGGGGGGTATCGGGTTCGATAGAGGGCTGGATGAGCTAGAGCAATTGAATTTTATAACAGAGGGTCTTATTTCAGACGAAGGTACCTCATTCAAGACCTCGGCTAGCAAGCGTGGGCTGAACCACCAGCATGATTGGTGGCACAAGCGGCGTACTTGTGTCAGGTGTTTCACTATGGATGTTTTGAATTTGTTGCGAAAGCCTGTGACGATCGATGACGCCAGTGAGGTGGAGGACCTATGGTTGAAGAGCGTTCCACAATTGCGAGCGTGGCTGAAGGGCAATGAAGAAAAGACGAGCGGGGATAAGGAAACCTTGGTTCAGGAGGTGTGCAGGGTGCTGAATTTGGAGTTTCGATTCGTCCCGCAGTCTCTTGCAAAATACAAATTTCCAGAGCTGCACCAAGTCAGCAGGGTGCGGGGGGGTCTGGATGAGGCAATCAAGAAAGGGAGGGAGGGCCCCACCAACGCTGCTGGGGAGGCGGCTGCTGTGGATGTTGCCGGAAATAGCATGCCCCAGCAACGGGGAGTAATTACGGAGAGGGAGCTGCCGATTGCGGAAACAGGGGTCGTGCGGGTCCAATGGGCAGATGTAGAACGGCTGTGGGGCTATGAGCCCGACAACGCTGCTGGCTTTCAACCCGAGTCTGCAGTGTCAATGCACATCGTGTAGACACAGGTTCTGGCCGGCGAGGACCATGATTTTTTAGAGGCGGGGTTTGATGCATCAGCGGATAGCAGAACGGGTGAGAATATATGCCCTACCATTGTGATGGTTGTTGTACATGCTACAATAAGCAACATTTGGTATACTTTGACACCCACCTATTTATTGCAGATGTGGTGGAAGGAGGAAGTGGCTCCAATCAAGATGAACCGTTTGAAGGAGGTGACGTGGGTGCTGCACGAGCAAAGGGAGTGCAAAGGGTCTGCAAAGCAACCGCTTGGCGCTGATTTACCGCGTGCAACAACTGGCAATGCAAGGGCTCGCCAGATTAAAGAAGTCACTGTTGCGCAGCGCCTCGGAATACACTTCTGGCATGTCCTGTCACGGTCCGCCGTCCGTACGAAAGATGGCAAGCCAACATCTGCTGCGTTGGTATCCGAAGAGTTATGTCTAGCTGCCGACCATTGGGCAGGAGACCATTCCCGGTGCAAGCGGGCCGGGGTAAAACCTCGTTGTGTTACTGAGAATTGGGGTACTGAGAGAGCCATTTACAAAAAAGGTAGTGCGACTCACCAGGCGGTCACAGATTGGTTCAACAGGCATTTGAACCCTGAGATGGTGGCGGCATTTTACTTGGGTATGACCACATCCATGAATGAGTCGTTTCATTCTTTGATTTGCAAGTATGCCCCGAAACGCATTCGCTTTCGGGGCAGCATGAGAGCTCGTATGTCACTCACGGTTCTCCATTGGAACAATTCCATGGATAGGATGGTGAGAGCATACTGCACCCGAATGAGAAAGGCTACGCGTGTGCAGAGGGGCAAGAGGGATCGGATCCTGGGGCCGATGGATTGGGGATGGATTGACACCATCGTCGACCATTGGCTCCACGGCTCGGAAGAGGACGGAGTTACGCACGCTGCTGATTTGCCAGAGCCTGTATCAGTCGATGCCGAAGCACAGCCATGCCAGACCCCTTCCACCCCTGCGGGTGTCGCCCCTGTACAGCGCCCACGTTTGTTCTTTCCAGTCAGTGATGGGGAGATGGAGATGCACGAAAGTGGCCGCGATCACGCCACTCTGGACTCCGGCCCGTGCCCTTCACATCGTAACACTAGGCGCAGATTATTGGGTGGGTCTGCAACACTCAAGCTGTTTCGCGGGTGCTGTTGGTTTAGGGTGGTGGGCTTTCCCTCCTCTGGCCATTGATGTGTTCCCCCAACTCTCTACCCAATGTCCCTTACACCGTCCACTTATAGGTGGCTCGACAGACTGCCAGCAGTGACGGGGTCAGGTGGATGCAAATGGTGTCCACTGCCCGGGCTCCATTTCTGCCTCCCCGCTCCATGTGAGGTTATGTTTATATGTACCTATGATCCACCTTCTGTCGGACTCGCTTTCTTGCATTCACCGTACTATACACTGCACTCTCTCAGTTATAGCAAGGTTCCAGCATGGACAAGTTACACTGCCTTGCTCAACTTACTGTTTCAACGCATCCGCCCTCTACCCAAGATCACTGCTGTCCAACCTGCTGCGATCGCGGCAGGAATGCTGGCCCCATTGACGCAGCACTGCACGAAAACGCTGCACCACTCCGAGTGGTCCGACGACTCATGCGTTCTGGATCAAGGCATCCCTATAGCGCGGCACCCATGTATGTTTGCACTAAAGACGGTCTGGCCACTCTAGCATTGTGTGTCATGCGTGGTTCTCAGTCCTGTGCCAATAACTCCGTTCCCCACACTGTCCCATTCTCCCCTCAACATCCCATAATCTTCCCCACTTGTCACGCATAATGCTTCCTCATGCCTGCCCATTCCCGCCTTTACACCCCGCTTTTCACTGCAGGCAGCCTAGACGGCACAGTGCGGTCAATTTCGGGCCGGCTGAGGCCCATCATGCTTCATGAGTTGCGAATGGACTTGAAACTTTAGGCTGCCCCTGCCACGTCCTTTGGCCCACACACTTCGTGCACATCCCTTTGCTCCAGCATGCATACTGCACGTGGCTCTTGCCGTGTCTCCCATTTGGCCACTGGGTGCTGGTCCCCGCTAAACTGTAGCTCTATTTGTGGGGTATTGTGTTTCAGCTCGTGGCCCCTTTCTTTTTTAATACTCTGACGGCAAAGAGGAGGTCTCCCCACAGCTTCGGGTACAGTTTGCACATCTATGCATGCAGGCTCTCATGGTCAGGGTTCTGGCACTCAAGACTTATGCAATTGTGGACGTGCACTCAAATGCCTGCCGGATAACAATCCTCCAGTAGCTTGATGACTGTCTGCGCTGCCCTACCGTTTGTGCGTCATTGATCGGCATCCGCTTCACAATGCTCCTATATGCCACCCTTCTCCTCCGGTTATAGTGACACTAGTGCTATGTAAACTATCCATGGCACCCAGACGTTGTCAAACATGTGCTTGCATGGAGCAACCCATAGTTGATATGACAATGGCACATGGTTTTCGGCTGAATGAGCGTGCATGATTTAGGGGTAACCATAGGGCTGGGAGGGGGACACCATAGAGCTGGGAGGGGGAAACCATAGGGCTGGGAGGGGGACACCATAGAGCTGGGAGGGGGAAGCCATAGGGCTTGGAGGGGACACCAGAGAGCTGGGAGGGGTAAACAAGACGGGCTGGGAGGGGGACACCATAGAGCTGGGAGGGGGAAACCATAGGGCTGGGAGGGGGACACCATAGAGCTGGGAGGGGGAAGCCATAGGGCTGGGAGGGGGAAACCATAGGCTGGCCGGAGTGTGGGAGTCTCAAGGTTAGAGAGGCTGGGATGCGCAGCCCAGTGAGGCATGAAAAGCTCCTGAAAGTGCACGGTAACTTCGGGGTGGTTGGGGTGGATTCTGGGGCAGAGAATAGGGGAAACTTAGGGCACGGAGTGGGAGGCACTAGGGCGGTCAGTGGATATCACTTACGGCAGGGTGTGGGAGAAACGTACTGCAGTCAGTGGTGGACACCTAGGGCAGGGAGTGGGGGATACTCAGGGCAGCGTACTAACGGCTGTGAGTGGGGAATAACCAGGGGTGTGTGGGGGGGCTACTTAGGGCGGGGAATACTGGCTTGGGCTGTGAGTGGGGAATACCTCGCGCATGGGGAGACACGCTGCACCGAGGGGGGAAACGCAGAGCTGCGTGGGGATATGGGTGGGGCGTGAGTGGTAGCGACATGCTCTATCCAGAGATCAGGGGGACCGCCCGTCTGGCGAGTGGTGGTGTAGCGATGCCGCGTGCTCATGGACGCGCCCCCTCGCCGGAGTTGGGCTGGGCGTGCTCCACCGTTGCGAGCTAACCGTGAGCCGCGGAGCGGATGGGGATGGCTTCGTGGAACCGCGAAAAGTCTGGTTCATCATCGTCGCGTTCGCATGCCGCGTTCCGCCCGCTTTAGATCTGCCTTCCGCCGTAGTCGGTGTCGTTACCCTGGTGGCAGCCGCTCCTATAAACCAAGATGCTGCTCATTGTTTGCACCCTCACCGTGCGCTAGGTACGGCCGTTGCCGTGATCTTCGTGCCTTCCGCGACGTAGTTTCCTGTTGTCTAGGGTGTCTCGCCAAAAATTCCCGTTTCTCGCGGCCCTCTGCTTTCCCTCTAGGCAGGTTACCGGTCGTTGCTTGCTCGGTCTCCCCGTCTCATCATGATGGTTGTGCTCGTGTGGATGCTGTGTGCGGTGTGTTGTGTATTCTGCAGATGGGAGTTGCGCGCTGTCCCAAGATGCAACGCCAGCTTCAAGTGATGTGTTTCTCTGCTGGGGCTTTTTTTGTGCCCATGGGTTTGCCGAACTTTCGCGTGACGTCTGGCCCAATCAGGTACGCCGGATTTTCGCCACCAGGTAAGGGTCCTTGCGCGCACTGCTGAATCGGGAAACCACATTCCTGCTTTTCAAACACAGTGTGTTTGAAGCTCGCGGCTTGTAATTTGGGCCGCGGGTTTTAATCAATCCTTTTACACACGCCCTTTGCGCTTCGTTACAACCACGCTGCTGAGATGCCTCCCGAAGTGTATCGAGCCGTCGGCTGAAATTTGATTGGTTGCGGAATGTTCTTCATTTCGCCAACTCCCCAATTTCGCCACCGACATTTCTTCCCCTCGCTGCTGATTTCGTGCTAAGGGCCAAAGTGTCAGATTTACTGTTCCAACATGCAGCCGCCGTTTTAGCTGTGAATTCAAATCTCACAACTCGTTATAAGCTCGTAAACTCGTTCTGGCTCTGATTTTTTGGAACGGAGTTGCTCCATCTACAGAATCAGACGTTCGCTTCGGAATTTCTTTGAAGGCTTTCAAGGCTCTAGGATCACACACTGTTAGTAGTAACAACGCTTAGTGGGGATTCTACGGGGTTAAGGACGTCCGTTGACCCCTAGATCGGCGATGACGTCGTCTGCAGCAGCATGCGATGCGTCAGCTACAGCTTCCACACCACCAGCAGCAGCAGCAGGCGACGGCGTATGGAGAGCTTCGACAGGAACAACAGCTGACGATAGGCTAGCTGAAGCATCGCCAGCTGTTGCTCCTGTCGAAGCTGTTTCAGGCGATAAAGGCCCTGTTTCCGTGAGCCATCATGCTTCCGTCAACAATCATGCAGCTGCCGTCAGCAATCAAGCTTCTGGAGTGTCAGGAGCCGGGCAAAAGCGGAAAATCGGCGGTAATTTTCTCTGGGGAGCGGCGACGGGGCTTATAACGGGGGTTCTATTGCAGCCGTTCGATGTGATCCGCACGCATCTGCAGGGATCATCCTCACCGTCCGTTCGCAAGATGGCAACAGCAGCAGCGGGAGGAGCAGGAGCAGCAGGAGGAGCAGGAGGAGCAGGAGCAGCAGCGAGAGAAGTGGGAGTTAGATCGCTGAGGTCGGCAGCTGTTGACGCTGCTATAGGGTTCACTGCAACTGCTGCTACAACAGCAGCTACAACCGCAGCTACAGCCGCAGCTACAAACCCAGCTAGTACAACGGCAGCCACAACCGCAGCCACAGCAGCAGCCACAACAGCAGCCACTGCAGCCACCACAGCAGCCGCTAGAACAGCTGCAAGAGCAGCTATACCCGCAGCTGTAGGCTCAGCAGCAGCGAAACAGGCATTCAATCCCAGCATGGGCAGCGTAGTGCGGCTGATAGTGCACAAGGAGGGCGTCAGAGGACTCTGGAGAGGCACTGGCCCCACGTGCGTGCGCCTGGGGCTGGGCTTGGGGCTGTTCTTTGCCACGCTGGACCCAACCATGCATGCGCTGGCTGCCCTAGAGAGTACTCTTGAAGAGAAACGGAGGAGGAGGGGCAGGGCGCAAGGGGAGCAAGGGGAGCTAGGAGAGGGTTCGTTAAAAGAGGATTCGTTACCGTCCTCAGCGTCCTCGTCGTCTGTGGTTGCTCAGAGGAGCGCTCATCAGTTCTCGTCCCGGGTGACGTTTCTGGCGGCTGTGGTTTCGCGGTCCCTGGCTGCTGCTGCGCTGTGCCCCGTGTCTGTGGTTAAGACTCGCATGGAGGTGAGTGTCTGTACCCTATGACGCCAGTACTGTCATTGTCAATGCTTTCACCGTCGCCTACTGCTGACGCTGCGCTGTGCCCCTTTTCTGTAGTCAAAACTCGCATGGAGGTGAGTGTCTGTACCTTAGTAGTGATCATCGACGCTGGTACTGCTGATAGGAGCTGTGGTTTCACGGTCCCTGGCTGGCTGCTGCTGCGCTGTGCCCCGTGTCTGTGGTCAAGACTCGTATGGAGGTGAGTGCCTTAGTGCGTTACTCTAGTATTTCAGATGATAGCAGTGGTGTTGCGGTCCTTGGCTGCCACTGCGCTGTGCCCGGCGTCCATGGTTAAGACTTGTATGGAGATGAGTGCCTTCATGCGTTACTCTAGTATTTCAGATACTAACATTGGTATTGCGGTCCTTGGCTGGTTGCTGCTGCGCTGTGCCCCGTGTCTGTGGTCAAGACTCGTTTGGAGGTGAGTGCCTTTGTGCGTTACTCTAGTATTTCAGATACTAACAGTGGTATCGCAGTCCCTTGCTACTGCTGCGCTGTGCCCCGTGTCTGTGGTAAGTCTCGTTGGTATGGAGGTGAGTGCCTGTACGTGAAGTAGTCATAAGGACGCTAGTACCGACACTGACTGTGCTTTCACGGTCCCTAGCTGCTGCTGCTGCTGCGCTGTGTTGAGCCAAGTCAAATCACCAATTTTTTCTAACAACAGGAGCAAACACTAGGCTAGGCTCTTGTTTCAAGATTGGACATTATTTGAATGGTAATGACAGAAATATTCTTGTTGGGCACAGTGAGTTGCTTTGCAATCGAGTGAGAGCTTCTGTAGGAAGAAATATCTTGGGCGGATCGAGCCTCGCTGCTATGCAATCTCTCTTGTTTCGTTTGTTTGTACACCCTTTCTACAGTGCAGTTCTCTGCAGTGAGCGGAGAGTCTTATAGAGGAACGCTTGGTGGATTGACGGCGATTGCCCGGTCAGAGGGAATAGCAGGTGAATTGCAGAGCAAGCCTGAAGTGAGACCATGCAACTTTAGCTAGTTTGGGGCTTGCGAAGTCTAATTTGATGGGTTCCGCATTCGTGTGCAGGCTTATATCGAGGATTGGGAACCACTCTGCTAAGAGATGCGCCGTACTCCGGGATCTATCTCGTGCTCTACTCACGCATGCGCTCCTTCATTCATGGTAATGTATGTGCCTGGTATGTCGGTGCATGCGTGCGTGCATGCGTGCGTGCGTGCGTGCGTGCATGCGTGCATGCGTGCGTGCGTGCCTGCCTGCGTGCGTGCGTGCGTGCGTGACTGTAAGCATTTACATCAGGACTCGCAGCTCCTTAACAGCACATGCATTACTTAATAACCCATACTCTGCATGCGCTCCTTCATAAATGGTAATATGTGTGCCTGGTATTCACCCTGTCATACATACATACACAACGGCCCTTAGTTCTGCCCGATTTGATCTGATACCCATACACAGATTCAATCTCGGAACTGTAAGGACGTACTGCCCCATAATCTCCCGCATGCGCTCCGTCATACATGCGTGCAATAGAAGTGTAGTCTTGAGAGGTCTCAAAACTACACTTACATTACTACCCCATACTCCCGCCCGCACGCGCTCCTACATACGTACGCAACGGCCCTTACTACTCGCCACGCCATTCTGATTTGGGAGGCAGAGAGCACTCTGTGCGCCCTTAGTGCTTGTGCTGTGTGTGTGTGTGTGTGTGTTTTTTTTTTTTTTTTTTTTAAACGCCAAGATTGGATTCCCATCGTGCCATGTCATTGGAAGCCACCTCTCATTTTCATGGAGAGGCGGTCATGGGCGCACTAACGGGTTTTCCGATGGTGTGTCATGACAGATCACATGGGACATGGGATATGGGACATGGGGCATGGGGCATGGGACATGGGGCATGGGGCATGGGACATGGGGCATGGGGCATGGGGCATGGGACATGGGGCATGGGGCATGGGGCATGGGACATGGGGCATGGGACATGGGACATGGGGCATGGGACATGGGGCATGGGACATGGGGCATGGGGCATGGGGCATGGGACATGGGACATGGGACATGGGGCATGGGGCATGGGGCATGGGGCATGGGGCATGGGGCATGGGGCATGGGGCATGGGGCATGGGGCATGGGCCATGGGGGATGGGCCATGGGCCATGGAAGGTTTACCCATCCTCCGTTTCCTCCCTGTGCGAACCGACAGATCGCATTTCCTCTGATGATGGGCATGGGGCTCGAACGGTCTCCACAATGGCAGCAGGTGTGTTCGGGTATTCTCTCATCATCCCCTGCCCTCATGATCAGACATCCACCGTATGGTTTCTTTACCGTATGTCTGCCAACACTGTATGATCTCTTCAACAGATCAAATTTCTTCCTTGTCATATTCTTTCCAACGACGTTTCGTCTTCTCTTTCTGTTCTCTTCCTTTCTTGCCGTTTCCTCAAGCTATTCATTCATCTTCCTTGGTAGATTGAATTCCTTTAGGCTCTAGGCCTCAGCTATTTCTGCATTCTTGAATTCGGCGCATTGTCCTTATCCATCACAGGAGCAGCAGCAGGGGCTCTGGCAACCATTCTGACCCACCCGCCTGATGTGGTGAGTCAGAACCTGCTGGCAACCATTCTTTCCTCCCACCTGCTGGCTCGACCTTGAACAACGAAAAGAGCTTCATTCTCCCGCCAGGATTTTGTTTCCCCCATTTTATTCGCCCATGCAGGATGAGTTTCCTCCTGTGCAGTTTTGAGGCGCCTCAAAACTTGTTTCCCCCCTTTTTTTTTCGCTCATGCATGAGTTTCCTGTGCAGTTTGCACACCCCACCCCACCAGCGCAATAGGCCACTCATTATCACTCGCATGCCTGTCTTTTCTTTTCTCCCCATTTTCAATCTCCATTTTTTTTCCTTGCATGTTTTTCTGCCCACCAGGTGCGAACCCACCTGCAGCTGGCCACTCTGCTAGCGACACCTGGCAAGCCACTGTCCATGATTGGTGCCACGTCAGCCATCTACAAGGTAGGTCAGGAATGGACCCTGAAGCAATGTAGCGATGTGTGTAAGGCAAGCCTCGACCCGATTACAAGGTGATTGTAGTGCAAGGTGTGGCATGACCAAGATAGAAGAACCAGGCAGTTACATCGTGCACACTTGTTTATTCCCAGCGCTTACTTAATCCCCACACAACCCCCAAAAAGGGCGCTTTTCGAGTCAATTCAGAAGTCACTGTGTGCAAGGTATGGCATGGTCAAGATAAATAGATGACTCAGGCAGATACATACTGTGCACGCACTCACTAACCCCCCCCTCATTTTCCCCCCTCCAGTCGCAAGGTTTGCCTGGCTTCTTCAGAGGGGTGGTGCCCCGGGTCATGAAGCGATCGTTGCAGCAAGCACTCACATGGTGAGGACTAGCGTGCGTGAGGATTTCTGTCTCCACCTGTTCTTGAGTTGAGGATTACTGTCTCCACCTGTTCTTGAGTTGAGGATTTCTGTCTCCACCTGTTCTTGAGTTGAGGATTTCTGTCTCCACCTGTTCTTGAGTTGAGGATTACTGTCTCCACCTGTTCTTGAGTTGAGGATTTCTGTCTCCACCTGTTCTTGACTTAACTCAAGGGGGGGGGGGGGTTTGCCCCAGGTCATGAAGAGATCATTGCAGCAAGCACTCACATCACATGGTTAGGAGCCATGGGGGAAAGAGGGGGATTGTAGCATCTCTTCTTGTCCCTCCGGTCATCATTTCCAGAATTCGCAAAAGGCATCTCCTCCTGTCCCTCCTGTCATGGAGCAATCATTGCAGCAAGCAGTCATGTGGTGAGGATTAGCATCTCTGCCAGTCCCTTCTCCCTTGCATATTTTTAAGGGCCTCAAAAGCACTTCAAAAACCTCAGAGGTGCCCAAATTTCCTTCCACTTCCCCCTTTCCCTTGGATCCCCCCTTTCCCCCAGAGTTCCCCACCCTCCCCCCTCACCCTCTCTCCACCCTCCCTTGCCTTCACTCTTGTGTTAAGAAGGGGAAGACATGGAAAACACCTTGCAATAAGCAACCTTCGTTTGTTACATTGTTTGGCAGGACTCTCTTTGAGCGCCTCTCATCCATTCTTTCTGGCCGGACACTTTGGGATCGGAAAGACGTTGCCCGTTGAGGAGCGAGAGCGCATGATATACGACAGCTACTGCTCGTGGCTGTGCAATGGAATCAATTGGCTCGCTATATTATTTCGTTCATTTGTTACATATGCTGTGTAGTTTTTTTTTGTTGTGACGTTGATGTTTTCAATACACTGTAGTTGATGTACGGGACCACGTAATCGCGTACAGAGTGACCTTTGAACTCAAGGGAGCACCCCGAAGGTGTAACAGAGCAATTTATCTTGTCGAGAACGAGGTGGTGAGAAAGGTCTCGAGGTGCGCGGGACAACCACTCCGACGGAAAATTGGCTGGTGATATGTTCAGTCCGAGCAAAAGAAACTGGGAAAGAATCCAGGGGGAGGTGATCGTAAGGTGGAAAAGAGACTCGGCTCGTTTCAGCAACGTACCAATGAAGCCATTCACCAATCTCACTTCACCCGAACATGTCCTGGACGTGCGCCTGGCTAAACGAAAAACCTGACAGCACCGAGATGCATCCTAATGCACCATAGCAATTTCCCTGATTCCCTCCCAAGCAGAGATTCTTCCTCAGCCCTGGTCCAACCTAGCCTAGATTCTGCCGTGCTGTTCCTAGTTATAGTTTAGGCACCTCTAAGCGCGCCGACTCCAGACGGTCTAGCAAGCACGAAAGGCCTAGAATGCTTATCTAGCTCAATCCTCGCCCGAAGCTTGGTTTTGGAAATCTTTGTGGGCACTGCTCGCGTGATTTCCTTGTTTCCGTTCCTGTTCCCAACTTCACGTTGTAGCCATGGCGGCGGCATTGCTGGGTCTCGACGGTCTCTTCCTCGGCTTCGATAGCTCCACGCAGTAAGTTACGGAAGAACCTAGCTCGAGCTTGCAAATTCGAAGCGAGGTGACTTTTGAGTCAGCTCAAAAGTCGCAGTTAAGTCACGACGAATTATTCCAGCCTCGGTTCAATCTGGTGATGTTTGAGCTTGAGATTAGTGCACTGATTCCGCAATGCCTTCGAGTGTGGCACTTCGCTCCGAGAGAGCACCCATTCGGCACCGAAGTGATACTTACTTCACGCTGTGGCAGCTGAAAATGCCTTCCAGTATCGCATGCACTGCCCTCCCACAAAAGGTTTGAGAAAGGAAAAAGAAAGTGATTTGGGGTCGGACCATTCTTTGAGAATACAAGGTCCGACCCGAAATCAGTTAATTTTTCCTTTCTCTCATCACGCGCTCTCGGGTCACTCAAGGCAACGGTGCTCGATTCATAGCGCTCGATTCATCCCTTCTTGTGGTAGATACCCTACCGAATCACTTCAGCAAGACACAGCCGGGTATTTTTTATAAATTTCAAAAGTACCCTGCTAGATTCATCCCTTGTGGTAGATACCGCACCAAATCACTTCAGTACGACACTGCCCTCCTGCACGCACACTCTTATTATTTCTGGCCCCCATTATAATCACCCCTTTTTTTTCAGGTCACTCAAGGCCACGGTAGTCGATTCCTCCCTTCGAATCGTCACTACCGAGTCTCTCCAGTACGACACTGCCCTCCCGCACTACCAAACCTCCGGAGGCGTGCACCGAGCCTCCGCCGAGCCTGATTCCCGAACCTCCTCTTCCGGCTCGGCGCTCAGAGTTACCGCACCACCAGCCATGTGGGTGGAGGCGTTTGATGTGATTTTAACGAGATTGAAGGATGCGGATTTTCCGTTCGATAAGGTCCGGGCAGTTTCGGGCAGCGGGCAGCAGCATGGGAGCGTTTACTGGCAGAGAGGAGCCCGGGCACGGCTTGCAAATCTTAGATCTGACCGAACCCTTTTTGCGCAGTTATGTGGTGATGAGAGATACAGGAAAGAAGAAAGCAAGCTTCAAGGCACGGGAGAGGGATTCAGCTCAAGCGATTCGATTAAAGGTGCTTCTTTACTAGATGATGCATCATCAAGTGTATTTTCGCTGTTAGATTCCCCCATTTGGATGGACAGCAGCACAGCATCCCAGTGTAGGGAAATCGAAGCAGCTCTTAGCGGGCCTGCAGCATTGGCTCGGATGACTGGTTCCCGAGCCTACGAGCGGTTTACTGGGCCTCAGGTTCGGCGTGTGTGGCAACATCAGCCTCGGGAGTATGAGAACACGGAGAGGATCTCATTGGTCAGCTCGTTTGGAGCATCGCTATTGGTCGGGGATTACGCTCCTATTGATGCTGCTGACGGCGCTGGGATGAATCTGATGGATCTACGGACGAGAGAATGGGCTGACGTGGCACTAGAGGTGAGCTGACGTGGCATGAGAAGCAGCATCAGCATCTGGGTCGTTTTCTGCAGCAATTTGTGTAACATATTACATCATCACAGCACGGTGTGTGTCATGAGAACATATTGTGATGTGCATGTGTCCCGTCCTTTTCTTATGCTGCCGAATTTGTTCCACGAACAAAAAGAAAGAAAGAAAAAAACAACAACAAAAAACAGCATCCATAGTACTTGTAGTGCATCAGTGTGCAAGTAACGGATTGTGCCATAATGTTATCGGCTTATTTCTTACACACCCTCATTGCATGCTCTTTCATTCCCCCTGCCCGGACCTGCCAGGCCACTGCGCCAAACCTGCGGGAGAGGCTTGGCGAGGTTGTCCCTTCACACGAGGTGGTTGGCAATGTGCATGGCTACTATGTGGAAAGGTGCACAGCTAAATTAAAAAACATACAAACAGATAAACAAAGAAGCAAAATGCCGTATCAAGTTCTGTAAAGAGCCTCGATGCATGCATATCTGCTATGTATTGTGAGATCAACCCACTCTCTCCCCGCTCTCCCTCCTGCTTTCCACTCTCTTTTTCATCCTCCTGCCCTCCCTCCTGCCCTCCCTCCTGCTCGCTCTAGGTTTGGCTTCTCTCCTGATTGCCAAGTCGTGGCATGGTCTGGTGACAACCTTTGCGGCACTTCACAACCTACCCCCCTCCCCCCCCCTCCCTCCTCCGGCTTCCCCCAACTGTTCTACCTCGTCCTCTTCCCTCCTGCTCGCTCTAGGTTTGGCTTCTCTCCTGATTGCCAAGTCGTGGCATGGTCTGGCGACAACCCGTGCGGCACCTTACAACTTTCCCCCATCCCCCCCCCCGGCTTCCCCCAACTTTTCTACCTCGTCCTCCCCTCTTGCTTGCTCTAGGTTTGGCTTCTCTCCTACTTGCCAAGTCGTGGCATGGTCTGGTGACAACCCTTGCAGTCTTGCAGGTAAGGAGTGCGCTTCTGCTATGCTTGGATTGACGACTTCAAAGTTCTGTACTGCACAGTATTGGGTGACTCCTTTGGGTTGCGGAGCAACCTATTGTGATCGATCGGACGAGATTTTTTTTTCTCAAAATTTGTAAAAAAAAACAATATATTTACTTGTGCAGTATTTGCTTCTATTCAAATAGACTTTACTGACAATTCATGCGTGCAAAAGCTAGTGAAGTTCACAAACTTACCATACTATTTTGTCCCTAGTCCAGTGATTTTTCAATATCAAATGAATTATTTTGTATCATTTTTGTTTTGAGTGTAATTTTGACCAATTTAGTGCAATATAGATATTACACTGCAAAACTCGTGTAAAGGATGGAAAACAACAATTGATATTTCATTTGTTCCCCATCCTTTCTCATGGCATATATTTGCCAATGACAAATATAGGCTATCGCTTCCCCAGCTAAGTGGGGGAAGAAGAAAGCCTAGATACGCGTAACACAAAACCACGAAACAATACCATTTGTAAGTTCCAAAAAGTATAGATTACCCTTATCATCTCCAGTTCAGTTGACTTCACCCAAGGTGTAGAGTCAAAGAACCATACATGAAATGACAAGTGCAATCAACTTTTCATAATCACAAAATGCATTGTTTCTGTACTAGATTATTGATATTCGATAACAACAGAGAATGCATCAACGCCAACAATCAAAGATGCAGGAACGACGCTGTTGGATATTCCTTATGAGCCTTGAGAACATGTGTCAAGAAGTAGGGAATTAATGAAATCATAAAGAGAGGAAGGAAAAAAAGATGAAATGAGAAACGGAAATCGACCACAAATAGGGAAGAAATTGAATGTACAACACCTGGGAAGGTTTAGGAGACGGCGAGCTGAAAATGGATTTGCGGAATGAAAAGAAGTACTTCTAGTTTAGGAGGGTGCGAAGGGGACGAGAGGAGAAGAGCATGGGGGAAGGGGGTGAAATGAATACCTTGTATTCAAACTAGAGGAAGGAATCGAGCAGAGAAGTGGAAAAGCGGGTGAGAGGAGGGGTTAGAATGCGTATCGTGCATCTAAGCTGAAATCGACCAGTTACATTTCCTCTACTGAAAAGAGTGAGAGAAGAAATACAGAGAAAAGTTTATGATATGACTGCACGAAAGGTAGGTAAGCCACTATGTCACCATAGCTGGAGAAATCTATCGTGCAGTTGAGAGCAACAAAGCATCAGCATCTGATGGTGCGTTGCTGCCTAACCAAGTGCTGCCTATACTTGCTAGCTACTGGAAGAAAGTAAAATGTGAGATAAGGATATGGAGGAAGAGCAGAGAAGGTGCTCGAAGATTAAGGCTGAAACAGCGACGTTTTTGCGGCTCTCTGAACCCTCGAGCGGACCAGCTTTGTTGGAGCCACGTTTTTGCAGCAATGAAGAAGCCTTCTTCTTTTTTTGTCAGAAATTGCCCCGTGACACTGAAATTCGCGTAATGATTTTTTAACGGGAATTACTGGTAGTCTAACTTAAGAAAGCCAGTATGTAACGTGTAATGCATCCAGTGGCGAGCTCGGGGGTTTTGCCAGTTCTTGACGAAAACAAAAAAATCAGTATACTGTGGCGAGTGTGGCTAGGCGGGTGTCATTGCCACGCGAGTTTTCACTTCCGTCTGGCAGTTGCGCGTGACGAGCCTCGCCACTGGGGAAATAAAACAAAAATCGCAAGGTGGCCAGATTCGTTCGCCACAAGTCGTCTACAGTGCGAACAATCACCACATAATCAAACAAAATCACAACAAAAACTCCCAGCGGCAGGGCATTTGGCGGAAAGGCGAAAAGTCCAAACTCACAAAAAACAGAAGATACATTCCTAAAATTGGGCTACAGCGGAACAATAAGGGACAAATCGTTTCAAAAACTGTACAAGCAGAAACGAACAACAAGAAGAACCAATTCAAACAACGTTGCACGATTTTGAAACAGTGGCGCAAACTCTGATTCACAAGGTATAACTTAAAGCGCACCTAAATAAAGTAAACACATATGTACATGAAAGCCAACTATGTAACATTTCTAACTGTATTAAATGCAGTGACATTGTATGTACTTTTATTAATGCACCGATATGACATACACCATCAATTGACTATTTCACATAGAATGTATCAAATCATTATGAGATGTAAACAGATACTTCAACATCGAAGCTTGATAATTAGCTTAAGCATATACATTCTACAATATATATATATATATATAAAGGCTCCGCAACCCTAAGACGATTGCGTCGTCCGTTATTTTGTTTTTAGTCAACGTAGAGGAGAGAGACAAGTTCCCCGAACCTAATGCTGTGCCACCTGCTGTGCCTGTCTCACAGGTTTGGCGCTTGGCGGCTCGGGCGATGTGGGCATAAGCCTTGGGACGAGCGACACTGTAAGTATGTCTGGCAAGGGTATCAGAGCAAGCAGTTTGTTCAATTCCCCACTCCCTCCTCGTCGCACCCACATCGCTATGAATCGCTGGCATACTCCCCTCCCATCCCCTCTCATCCCCTCCCATCCCCTCCCATCCCCTCTCCACCCCTCCCGTCCCCTACCCTCCCCTCCCGTCCCCTCCCATCCCTTACCCTCCCCTGCCGTCCCCTCCCCTCCCCTCCCCTCCCCTCCCCTCCCCTCCCCTCCCCTCCCATCCCCTCCCATCCCCTCCCATCCCCTCCCATTCTGTTCCACCCTGTCAATGCCAGCCCATTTCCAACTGTTATCCACCCCCTCTGCTATGTCCCATCCCCTCCAGGTGTTTGCGGTGGTTCAGCACCCCCAACCAGGATTGGAAGGCCATGTGTTTCCCAATCCTGTGGATCCATCCTCGTTTATGGCCATGATCTGCTACAAGAACGGGTCTTTCACTCGACAAGGTACATTGTTTCTACATATAGAATCTATTATCGTGTATAATTGATATGCATATATACATGTAGATATGCGCGTACATTTTGTTTGCAACCCGAATGCGTCCTGGATGCTATCTTGATGATTTGAACTATCATGCCAATCATTTTTGTGTCGACTCGAAGGTAACCTCATGTAATCTATCATGCCCCATCCCATCCCACCAATCCATCCCACCGATCCATCCCACCGATCCCATACAATGCCCGATCATCATGATTGCATCTCGGGGTCCCGGTTATCAGGGACCGCTGTGGAGGAGGGTCGTGGGAGGCACTCTGCCAGGTGCTTGATAAGGCTAGGGTGTGTGTGACGACCTTAGTGGTGTGACTGTACCGTACTCTACTGTACTCCCATCATCCCTCCCACCCACCTCCCAGCCATCAGGGACCACCATCAGGGTCGTGGGAAGAAATCGACCAGCTGCTTGATAAGGCCAGGGTGTGTGTGACATCAACGGTGCGAGCGTACTCGAGTGTGCTATAGTTCCATCATGCCATGTCGTGTCATGTCATGTCATGTCATGCCATGTCGTGTCGTCCCCCAGCCATCAGGGACCGCTGTGCAGGCGGGTCATGGGAGTCATTTTGCCAGCTGCTCAATGAGTCTCCTCCCTTGAACGGTTAGTGCATCAAGCGGCATGCATTTCTTAGGTGCCTGAGAAAAGGGTCATCGGAGGCATTCTGCCGATTGCTCAACGAGTCACCTCCCTTGAACGGCTAGTACAAACCAGCGGGTGGCTTCAACCACGCTATTTTCGTCTTTTCATTTATTCTTTTACATGCCGTCGTAGGGTCGCCTTTACAGGCTGCAAAGCGCAAGGCTCGTGCTCTGTTACGTAGGGTCTCCTTTCTGCGTTCATCCTCCGCTTTCTGCGCTAACAAGTGGTCGCATGAGCCTCTCTACTACCTCAACTCGGAATCATTTGTTTTTTGTCTTTATTTTACTTTCCTCTTCCTCCACAGGTGGTCGCATGGGCCTCTACTATCTCGACTCAGAAATCATCCCACCACTACCAGGTGCCTTGACTGATGTGACGCGCTGCTTCTTGTATAGACTAGCAATCAGGCCGTTATTCTCCCCCTTCCATTTCACTCGCTCTCTTCCATAACCCTGAGTCTCGGTCGTTTTCACTCCGAGTCAGCAGGTAGTCGAGAATTTTAAAACGTTGTCCGCTCCACCACTTGGTCCAGCTCACATCTTGAGAATCTAACTTGTTATCCTCCTCTCCACTCTACCTCTGGGCTTTCTCACGCCATAGAACATTCTTGTGCCCCTCCGCCCTCTTTTTGCTCATCTTTTAGGTGCCTCAAGAATAGATTTTTGAGGCGCCTCAAACTTTGGTTTTCTATCGCCGTAACACATTCTCATGCCCCTCCACCCTCTAGTTTTGAGGCGCCTCAAAACAACACATTCTCATGCCCCTCCACCCTCTTTCTGTTTCCGCGTGTCATCTCACTCTCTCTTCCCCTCCTCTCTCTCTCTCTATTCCATTCCTCCATTGCCGCTCTGTGCCCGTTTTCAGTGGGAACTCATCGGTATGTGCCAAAGGAAGGTGGCCGTGCAACTACTTCAGAAGCGGCTGCTAGGGACCCTCTCTCGGCGCTCACAAAACTTGCTGCCAATCCTCTCTCATTCTTTTCTGCTCCGTGCCCGTTTCCAGTGGGAACTCATCGGTATGTGCCAAAGCAAGGCGACGGCTCAGCTACTTCAGAAGAGGCTGCTAGGGACCCTCTCTCAACTACACAAGTCTTGACGCCAACTTTCTGTCTTTCTTTCCCTCTCTACCCATTGCCGCTCGGTCGGTGCCCGTTTTCAGTGGGAACTCATCGGTATGCGCCAAAGCAAGGCGACGGCTCAGCTGTTTCAGAAGCGGCTGTTAGGGGCCCTCTCTCGGCGCTCACAAGACTTGACCCCGACCAGACCTTCTCACCACCTGAAGAGGTACTGCTGGGTTCGGGTTGGCTCAATTCAAAATAAATGCTTCTGCTTATGAGTTGCCTCAAAAGCATCCGCTCTCAATTCTTGATCCAAGCCTTCGTCACCACCTGAATGGAGACTTGGTTTGGCCGGTTTATTTACGGCACGGTCTTTTTTACCTCGCTGGCAGAAAAGCTCTTGCCCCTCGCACAAGTGGTCCTTTTTTGAGTCGACTAGAAAATGTAGCGAGGTGATGTAGCGACTAGAAAATGTAGCGAGAAAATGTAGCGACATTGTAGCGAGGTGACTCGTGCAAGTGGTCCTCTCGCATCGCTCACAAGGTTTGCAGCCGACCGACCAGACCTTCTCACCCATCTGGCAAGCGAGGTACCGCTGCTCAGGCCGCATCAAATCAAAACAGCAGTATGGCGAGGGACTCCAGAGGCACCTCCGCTTCTGGAGTTGCTGGAGGAGATGCGTTTTGAGGCGACTCAAAACTCACCATCTGGTGAGGTACTGCTATTCAGGCTGCATCAAAAGAGTGGTATAGCGACCGGACCTTCTCACCTCTGCTTCTGTAGTCGCTGGAGCCTGGAGGAGATGCTCCTGCCGCTCTCGCATAAGACGGCAGAAGCGTGTTTGTGTCTCGAGAAAGCATTTCTTTTGTTTCTTTTATCACCTGCTCCATCCCCACCTTCCGCCCGCACCTCCCTCCCCACGCTTTCATGTTGCTCACAGAGCAGAGTCCCCGCTCCCCAGCTCCTTTCTCTCTTGTTCTTCCCCCTCTTACTCACAGATCAGAGCGTTAGTGGAGGGGCAGCTAGCAGCAATGTTGCAACCCCCTTTGCTCCGCTCCGATCTTTCAACCCCCTCAATCTTTCAAGTTTGTCTCTCTCGCTCACAGATCAGGGCACTGGTGGAGGGGCAGCTAGCAGCAGTGAGGGGGCATGCGGAATGAATTGGGTGCAGAGTCCCCTCTCCTCTCCCCACATCCCTTCTCCCTCCGTTTCCCCCCCCTTACTCACAGATCAGAGCGTTAGTGGAGGGGCAGCTAGCAGCAATGAGGGGACATGCAGAGCGAATCGGGTTGCAGAGCCCGCCTGCCCGAATCATTGCCACTGGGGGTGGTTCAGCCAATGAGGCGATCCTGCGCACCATGGCAAATGTTTTTGGCTGCCCGGTGTACACCTCGACATCCACAGGTGACTCAAGCAAGCTGCACGATGAGCTTTGTTTTCTCTTTTGTTTTGTTCTGTTTCTGTTTCGTTTGTTTCGTTTTTGTATCGTTCAAGTTTCTGATTTTCATGTTTACTCTCGAAGGAGTGAATGATAGACATTCTGTGCAAGTAGCGTGAGGTCTAGTTTTGAGGCGCCTCAAAGCAGCATGAGGTCTAGTTTTGAGGCGCCTAAAAGCAGCGTGAGGTTAACTTTCGAGGCGCCTCAAAGTAGCGTGAGGTTAAGTGACAGAAGATTTGTTTTGAGACGTCTCAAAGCAAATCTTCTTTCATGCTTAGTCTGTATGTAAGGAGTGAATGGGGATAAAATCTGTGCAAGCAGCGTGAGCTCGAACCAAGCGGACATACAATGCACTAAATGCATTTCACTTCAAGTCCATTTCTTAGAGCACTGAGGGCAGCACACAGCCGCAACCAAGACCCGAAACTGCTGGTTCTTCCACCCACTCCTGTTCAATAACCCGCTTTTGAGGCGCCTCAAAAGCAGCCGTTCTTCCTCCCACCCCTGTTGAATAACCCCCTCAACACACACTCTGTCCTTCAGTTTCCTCTGCCCCCCTCCAGACTCTGCATCATTGGGATTGGGAGCAGCTCTGGGAGCAGCACATGGCTATCTCTGCCACACCCTGTGGTGATGACAAACCTCTTTCTCCCCTTTCCCTCCTTTCCCTCCTGTTCCCCCTTCCGCCCCCCTCCAGACTCTGCCTCGTCGAGAGCAGCACCCGGCTATCCGTGCCTTCACACTCTCCTCTCGTTTTTGCTCGTTTCTCCCATTCACCTCCTCCCCATTCACCTCCTCCCCATTCACCTCCTCCCCATTCACCTCCTCCCCATTCACCTCCTCCCCATTCACCTCCTCCCCATTCACCTCCTCCCCATTCACCTCCTCCCCATTCACCTCCTCCCCATTCACCTCCTCGCTTTTTCTCCCTTGCAGACTCGGCCTCGTTGGGAGCAGCACTGAGAGCAGCACACGGCTACCTCTGCCACGCCCAAGGCTCCTTTGTTCCCTTCACATCGCTCCTGGATCATGCGAGCGCCACCTCAGCAACTTCCAGCTCAGCAAGTGCCACAGCAGAAGGTGCCACGTCAACAGCCCCCAGCGCTGTCTCTCTTTCCAAAGCTATCCCTGCTGGATCCCCGGACCTGCACGCGAGGTACGGGGAGATGGTGGCTCGGAGAATGGCAGTTGAGCAACAGCTATTGGACGAAGCCAGGGGGCAGCAAGCATAGCGGCGGTGTGCAGTTCATTGTGAGGCTTAAAGCCAGAACCAGTGTAGTTGGCTTTAACAACCACAGCTGGCTGCTGTGGCTGTTGAGGGCCAGTTGTTGGATGAAGCGGATGCGCATTGAGTGGGCGCTGGGCAGCTGGTTAAAGGATAGTGAGTTGTGATCATGGTTGAGGTCCCATTGAAAGCATCTTAGAGGGTGTCATGTTCCTGCGACCTTTCCCCAGGTCGGGCTTGTTGGAAATATCTCAAGGACTTAAGCGTTTCTGAAGTGTAACACTGTACTCGAGGAAGATTACAGGGGAGCACGCGAGTCAACGGAGGTTACACGAGGGGGCGGACAAAGAATGCGAAAGGACTCGAAAGGTCGCAACTGGAGGTTGCGACTGACCGTTACAACATCACGGATGGTAACCGAAGCGGCAATCGAGTCGCTGTGCGACTCGATAAAACCGTTCCTGTAACTGTATTCTACAACTGCTTTCTTATCTTCTATATATTGCTGTATGCTTGTTTCTTTAATCAATCACTTGTTCTCACATACTAGTACAAGGGTTCAACTGCCTCAACTTCCGCTGCACTACTCCAAGTCTCAAGTCTCTACAGCTGGGACTTAGTCTCTGTAAAAGATCCTAAGGGCTTCTTCTCAGCCCAACATGGTATGAGAGCTGGTCAGAGACCAAACTCCCAGCAACTACGCTCCATCAACAAACTGCAACTCAACTCAATTCAACGACTTCATTGATTACAAGACATGGACAGCAAGGGCAAGAAAGTCTCTACGGGCTCACCCAGCGGCCAAGAAACTCAACACGGCAACTCTGGTCCGCACACCTCAGGATTGCAGACAGAGACCGGGACTGCTCAAGAAACAACAGGAAGAGTACCAGAGATGGTGACTCCGTCTCCCTCTTCAAGTGTGGACCCGAATCTCATGGAGAGATTCTTCAGCTTCATGTCACACTTCGACCAGCAACAGCAGACAAGGACACCTGCGCATTCAACACAGAGCAATGGAGGAAACATGGGATTAGCGCCGATGAGCCTCGACAACTCATCCTTCGGGCGACACAACCAAGCACCTACCTTTGCGCCTTATCATTCTTCACCGGGGACGTTCGAGTTCATGCCGCCCCGCGCCCAACCAACAGCAGCTGCATCACAACAAACACCAAACGAGATTCTCAGTCTTCAGGCTCAATTCTCACACGTCATCAAGTTACAAACATCCTCACCGTTCAACGGACACGACTTCTTTACCTGGAGCTTCGAGTTCGAGCTGCTGATGGAGGCCGCGCATCTTCTGGGATACTTCAACGGGTCCCTGCCATTCCCAAGCAACGGCACTGGAAAGGAACAAGAGATCTTCACGTATCAGTCGCTACTGGCGTATACAGTCCTCCTGCGGAACCTGTCACCACAAGAGCAGCAGAGCATCAGAACATATCGGAGCTATGGGAACTCCGCGGAACTCGCATGGCATCATCTCAAGTGCCTTTATCAAGCAAACGACAGCGTGACACAAAGCAGACTCATGCAACAACTGACAACAATACAGATGAAGACCGGGGAAAAGGCAATGCAATATATGAGTCGCTGCCAGACTCTCCGCGACCGCCTGCTTCGGTGCGGAGGAACAATCACTGAAGAAAGCTTCGTGACACTTGTCCTCGCCGGGCTCGGGCCAGAATGGAGAACCACACGATCGCTTCTTCGAGCCCACGGAAGAATTTCGGAGATGCACCTCTGCGCCGAGCTCCATGCTGAACAACAGGAGATGGATCTGTTCGAGGAAAGACAACCAAGGAAGCAACAGCAGTTAGTCTTCTACACTCAACGAAGAAATGACAACAACCACAACCGACGCGGCAAGCAAGAGCACGACAACAGAGGGACTACCTTCGTGCCGCCGTTCTGCCACAACTGTCAGACTTCCGGGCACTCCAAGGTCAACTGCAACCGCCCTCGCGTTTACCGTCCAGCAGACCCACAAGTCGCCTCAACCCAAGCAAGATCCCCAAGGCGCTCTTCAACATCTGCACAACAAACACCAAATATTATTAACTGCATGGTACACATCGACAACTGCGCACCCAGATCACCACCCACTTACGCACCAGACGAAGAGGAATTCCCGCCGCCGCGCTCACAAGGACTTCAGGTCAACCCGACATACGCTGCAGTCGCCAACGCCGAACCCACCGGGCGGAACACCTGGTTCTTGGACAGTTGCTGCGGTCAACACATGTGCTCCTCGGGACGCTTTGTGCAACAGGAGAAACGACTCAACCGCGACGTCGTCATCACCGTCGCCAACAACGAAAACCTGAAGACAAACAGACTGGGCGTGGTTCAGTTACAATCAATGGAGACGAATGTCATACTTCAACTCAACAAGGTGCTCATTGTCGACAATCTGGGATACAACCTACTAAGCGTAAGCCAACTAATGGCCAAGGGGATTCACCTGGAGTGCGATTCTTACTCCAACGAGTTCCGGCTTTACCACGGGAAGGGCGGCCTCTTCATCGGTCGTGCCATCCTGAAGTCCGGCGTCTTCGTGTTGGACTTCGTCCCCGACCGCGGAACTGCCGACAGCGATGGCATCGTATCGTTCGCCGCCTGGACTCACCCGCCGGATCTTGATCCCGACTTCGACAGTGATGGCTTCTGGCACTCCAATACCATACCTGCAGCAGAGAGAACACGAGCATTAGCAGTCATCAAACAAGAAAGACAAGTACCCGCAAGCGTCCCAACAAAACCATCACCTGCAGTATCGGCAGCAGGACCCAGCCGAGTCCCACCACCAGCGATCCGAGGACCGCCAACCGAAGCAGACCAGCTTATGCCCGTCACACGAGAAGTTTGTCGAAGTCCCGCCTCAGTCGTCGCGTTCTTCTCCAACGCCGACATCTACCACCGCTCGCCCGGTCACCGTGCTCCCGACGACATCTGGCACCAACGCCTCGGACACCCTGCAAACAGCACAATACTTCAAACAATCCAAGCAGAGGTGTTAGAACGCAACGCCCTTCTGACGACGAGCGGTCAAGAACTTCGACGACCACGCGCACGGTGCTTCACATGCCCCGAAGCAGATCTTCCTCATCAACCCTTCCCATCACATCATAATCCAAGCGCGCCTGCATATGCAACGATGGAAAAAGTCTACAGCGACATCTTGAACATGCCTCGAGACGACACGGAAGCCGACTTCAACTACGTCATCACCTTCGTCGATGCAGCAACAAGATACACTTGGCATTACAACCTCAAGACGCGCGATCAAGCCTTCAACGCCTTCACAACATGGCTCCCCATCGCCGAACGGGAATCAGGAACCAAGCTCAAAAGCTTCCAGTCAGACGGTGCACTGGAATACCAGTCACAACGCTTCAGGACCTATCTGGCGGAAAGAGGAATCAAGCGCCTGGTGTCCCTACCATACGCTCACCAACAGCAGGGGGTCGCAGAACGCATGAACCGGACCTTACAGACGACGATGCGAAAGCTGCTCCTGGGGATGAAACTGCCCAACACACTGTGGCCAGACGCGATGACACATGCAGTCCACCTGCACAACCTGTTGTCCTCGTCATCGCTCCCCAACAACGCATCACCGCACCTGCTGTGGACGGGAAAAAGGGGCAGCACAAAATTACTTCGAGTTTTCGGCTGCATGGTACAATACAGACCCCACACAGCTCGAGCAGGACGCTTCACTCAACGAGCTCGGTGGGGACTACACCTCGGCATCGCCAAACATTTTTACGCGTGGAAGATTCTCGACATACAGGACAAAAATACGGTGGCATCACGTGATGTTATCTTCTACGAGCGACTGACGCTGCAGCATTACCTGGACAACATTGCCAACTCAGACGACCCCACCGACGGCTTCGCGGGCCTTCGCTCCTTCGCTGACCATGCTGCCGAGGCTGACGCAGCAGAAGAAGACGTCCCTGGAGCCTCGGAGGCTGCCGGACCACTCCCCTACTGCTCCGTACCTGTTCCACTCGATGAAGATAATCCCCTCGATAGCAACAATCTCGACACCTTTTACCACTTCGCTGACCAAGGCTACGCTACACCACACCCCGTCGACTCGAACATTTCCGAACGCATCGGGCCAAACTTCTTACCCGATCCTGAAGACGGTGATGAAGCAGCTTATCCCGAGAATGAAAATTCCCCTCGACACACAGCCACGGGACTGCAGATCCTAGGACTATGGGTCTCCGTCCAGCACCCGCCGCCACCTTCTCCGCGCGAGCCGTCGACCCTGTCGCAGGCTCTGGGGGGGGAACATAAGGAGAAATGGAAGGAAGCAATGGAAAAAGAGTTAAAAGCCCTCCAAGACCGGAATACATGGAAGTTAGTACCGACAACCAACACCAACGGGAGGAACATTCTCTCGGGGAAATGGGTGTACCGCATTAAGACCAACGCGGACGGCTCCATCGAACGTTTTAAAGCGCGATGGGTCGTACGAGGCTTCGACCAACGATACGGAACCGACTACACAGAAACCTTCGCCCCAGTCTCCCGTCACACCTCCCTGCGCATCCTACTCGCCGTCGCGGCCACGAAGAAACTACCACTACGGCAAATCGACGTCGCAAACGCCTTCTTGTACGCACCTGTGGACGCCGAAATCTTCGTCGAACAACCCCACGGATTCATCGACGACCCTTCAAAAGTATGCCAGCTGGAAAAATCCCTTTACGGGATCAAGCAAGCCCCACGGCTCTGGCAGCAGCACCTTCACGGCCGGCTCGCAAAAATCGGATTCCTACAACTGCCGCATGACCAAGGGATGTACCGACTGCAGAAGGGAAGAGAGTACGTCCTACTCATCGTCTACGTCGACGACCTGCTCTACATCGGCTCCACTACCGACATCGCTACCTGGTTCGAAGGGGAGCTGAAAGGGGACCTGACGCTCACGGTGTCCGACTCAGTGACCCAGTACTTGGGACTAAATATCATCGAAGACAACTCGGCGTTCTACCTACACGCTGGAAAGTACGCAGGCACTGTCGCGAAGAAATTCGGACTAACACCGGCTACCGCCCCAACTCCCTACCACTACGGAAACAACAACAACGCCTCCGCAAAACTCCCCGCGAAGCAAATCCAGGAGTATCAACAGAAGCTCGGCTGCCTACTATTTGCAGCAGTAACCTGCCGACCTGACCTGTCCTATAGTGCAAGTCAACTGGCGACGCATCTGAAGCAACCGGAACAGGAGGATCTCGAGGAGCTCAACCGGGCACTACTCTACTTCGTCTCCACGCCGACGATCGGACTTACCTACAGCAAAGCGACAACACCGTCCGTACAACTACTCGGATACGTCGACGCCGACCACGCGGGAGATAGGGAAAATCGACGATCTAGGACGGGCTATATCTACCGACTAGAACCCATCGGAACTATCTCTTGGCAGTCGAGCAAGCAGGAGTTAATCGCACTATCCTCGGCTGAAGCAGAGTATATCGCCCTTTGTACTGCGACCAAGGAAGGACTCTACCTACGGGAGTTACTCGAAGAAGCGAAGATCGCGACCCTGCCCGCCTTCTCACTCCTCTGCGACAACCAATCTGCGATCAAAATCGCGAACAAGGACGGCTTCGCCAACCGAACCAAACACATCGCCCTGCGGTACTTCTTCGTCAAGGATGAAATCGCGAAGGGGAGACTTCAACTCAGTTACTGCCCGACGACAGAAATGGCCGCAGATTATCTGACGAAGAAATTGGCGAAAGCAAAATTCGACTACTGCATGCTCCTAACCGGGCAAACAAACGTCACCCGATCTGAACACTCCAGCACTCCAGAAACGAAGGGGAGTGTTGGAAATATCTCAAGGACTTAAGCGTTTCTGAAGTGTAACACTGTACTCGAGGAAGATTACAGGGGAGCACGCGAGTCAACGGAGGTTACACGAGGGGGCGGACAAAGAATGCGAAAGGACTCGAAAGGTCGCAACTGGAGGTTGCGACTGACCGTTACAACATCACGGATGGTAACCGAAGCGGCAATCGAGTCGCTGTGCGACTCGATAAAACCGTTCCTGTAACTGTATTCTACAACTGCTTTCTTATCTTCTATATATTGCTGTATGCTTGTTTCTTTAATCAATCACTTGTTCTCACATACTAGTACAAGGGTTCAACTGCCTCAACTTCCGCTGCACTACTCCAAGTCTCAAGTCTCTACAGCTGGGACTTAGTCTCTGTAAAAGATCCTAAGGGCTTCTTCTCAGCCCAACAGGGCTCTTCCCAGACTCGCCCCTATCGCCTGAATCTCAGCTATGCTGAGCCCAATTATTATTGCGCAGCGCAGAACCGTACTAACCCTTCTCAAGTTCTCACGCCGAAATTGCAGCACTGTAATTACTATGAAACAACTTCTAGTGCCCTACGTGTGGCCACAAGTGCCTCACAGGTTGTGAGGCCACAGCAAGCCCCATCCCCCCTGGCACCAGTGTTGTGAGTTGTTAGAGTTGTTCATAACACATAACACCCCTATGAAGGGGCTCCGAGACTCCAAGAGCCCTCTGAGCAGCAGTGAGCGTGTGTTCCAGCAGCATGGCATCGGCCCCACTCCCCCCAGCACCCGGGTGATCCACCCTGCCACCTCTCTTGCCTCCTCGGAGGCCACATCGCCCACCAACCGGTAACCGGCTTTCTTGGCTCTAACAAGGCACTCCTAGAGCTCTCTGCGCAGCAGTGAGCGTGTGTTGCAGCAGCACGGCAATGGTCATCGGCCCCACCCCTCCTGGCACTAGGGTGATCCACCCTGCCACTCCCTCGCCTCCTCATAGTCCACATCCCCCACCAGCCAGTACCCAGCTGTTGCCATCAAGCCCCCGCCCCCTATGAACTGCCTCCCAATGCCCTCTCAGCAGCAGTGAGCGTGTGTTGCAGCAGCACGGCAATGGTCATCGGCCCCACCCCTCCCGGCACCGGGGTGATCCACCCTGCCACCTCCCTCGCCTCCTCGTAGTCCACATCACCCACCAGCCGGTATCCGGCTTTCTTCGTTGCGTCGTCAATGGCGTTGATTCCCACGTCGATCACTGCACACCCCGGCTTCAGCCAGTCCCCTTTCACCTGGGAAGAGGGAGAGGGGGTGGGGGGGTGAATGAGGGGGGGGGAGGGGAAAGCAAGGAAGGAAAGAGGGAGAGGGAATGGGGAGGAAGAGGGAGAAAGGGGGGAGGAGGGAAGGAGGGGGGTTGAGTGGGATGAAGGGGAATGGTGGGAGCAACCTTCCTCAGAATTGAAAAGTAGGTTCGACCACAGAGTGCCCATCTTTGAGGCGCCTCAAAAATAGACCTTGGAGTGCCCATCCCCCAACAGTCGGCATCCAGCCTCCTTGCTTGCATCGTCGACTGCGTTGATTCCCACGTCGATCACTGCACACCCTGGATTCAACCAACCAGCTTCCACCTCGGCAGAGGGAGCCAATAGAGACAGACAGAGGCGATAGTGGCAGTGGCAGATGGTGGCAGTGGCAGATGGTGGCAGATGGTGGCAGTGGCAGATGGTGGCAGATGGTGGCAGTGGCAGATGGTGGCAGCGCTCACAATATCTGCCTGCTTCACAATCTCCCTGGGCTCCCTTGTCCTCAAGTGCACGATGGTAACTCTTCTTAACGGGTTACCGCACTCCATGCACTCACCATCTTGGCTTTCCCAATAGCAGCAATGACGATATCCGCCTGCTTCACAATCTCCTTGGGATCTATAATCCTCGAGTGCACGATGGTGACTGTTGCATCCCTCTCCATTAACCATCGGCTCATCACTCACTCCCCAAGCACTCACCATCTTGGCTCTCCCAATGGCAGCAATCACAATATCCGCCTGCTGCACAATCTCTTTGGGCTGCTTGGTCCTCGAGTGCACGATGGTGACTGTGGCATCCCGCTCCACCAGCAGCATTGCAGCCGGCATGCCCACTATGTTGCTGCGCCCAATCACCACGGCGCGCTGCCCGCTGATCTGCACGCCACTGCGCTCCAGCAGCACCATGCAGCCCTGGGGAAGGAGAATGGGGACGAGGGGAGGAGGGAGGGTAAGGTAGGGAAGCATCGCAGCCGGCATGCCCATGATGTTGCTGCGCCCAATCGCCACGGCGCGCTGCCTGCTGATTTGCACGCCACTGCGCTCCAGCAGCACCATGCAGCTCTGGGGGCGGTGGGAGGAACGGGGGGAATCGGAAAGAGGCAGATTGGGGGGGTTGGTTTTGCGACCAACCACCGCAGCACGTTGGCCACTTATCCGTATGCCACTGGGTTCTAGGGGGGATAAGGGGCCCGGGAGAGACTGGGGGAGACAGGGGGAGACAGGAGGTAGAGGGAGGGGGAGGGGGTAGGGGGAGGAGGAGTGAAAAAGGAAGAGATGGGAGGTTGTTCCTTGCGGTTACCACCACAGCCCAATCAGGAACCAGCGGAACACACTACAGGTGCCGTTCCTCAATTAAAACCTCCTGGCCCCGCTCCCTTTCCCCCGTTCCCCTCCTCTCTCCTTCCCCCCCTCTCTGTCCCTCCTTCCTCCCCGCACCCTCCCCAAAACCCCATTCCACTCCACACCTCATCATTTCACGGTGCAAACTGCAGGTGCTGTTGGCACCGTGAACTCCTTGTGACTAGTCAGGTGTGGAACCCCCTAGCCCATCCTTGCAGTTCCCCACAACCAACCCATCCCCCGCCCCCCGTCCCCCTTCATCCCTCCCTTTCCCAGCCCCTTTTGTCGAAGCTTACAATCCCCCGCTCTCAATTCCCCTCCACCCCCCTTCCTTCCCCCAACCCCTTTTTCCTACCTCGGGGGTGCACGGGGCAAACTGCGGGTGCCGCCCCTTCATCGCCAGCTGTCCGATGTTGATTGGATGGAAGCCATCCACGTCCTTGGGCAGCGCCACCTCAGCAAGCACCGCCTCCTCGCTGATGTGAGCCGGCAGGGGCAGCTGAACCAGGATGCCTGGTGAAAGGCAATACGTGAGCGATGAGACGGGCACAGGCAGAAGGGCAACGGATAAGGGGCAGGGAAACCAGTGGCAGTGCCTCAGCCAGCACTGCCTCCTCGCTGATATGAGCAGGCAGGGCAGCTGAACCAAGATGCCTGGTGCGAGGGAGAGGGTGAAGGGGCGGTGGGGCGGGGGGTGATATGCAACAAGGCGAGCCAGCATGAGCCAGGATGCATATGCCACATACAGAGCATGTATGAGTACAGAGCTGAGCATGTGCACATTCACTTAATAACATATCCACATCAGCATCCGCACCAGCCACGTCAGCAGGCACGTCAGCAGCCACGTCAGCAGCTCACCATGCACGTCAGCAGCTCACCGTGCACGTCAGGGTTGGCGTTGAACTCCCTGACTGCTGCAATGACGTCATCCTGGCTGGCGTCGCCAGGAAGCTTCCCCTCGAACGAGGCAATCCCCACCTCCTGGCACGCCTTGACCTTCATTCGCACATAAGTCTGCGAGTCCTTGCGCTCACCCACTATGATGACTGCTAGTCCGGGGACCTGTGGGGACCAGAAACCAGAAACCAGCAGAGCACAATGGCTGCGGTGTTAGCTCCTGGCACGCCTCTGTCAGAATGCAGTCTTGGGCTCCTGGCATGCCTTCACCTTCATCCGCACGTACGTCTGCGAGTCCTTGCGCTCGCCCACTATAATGACTGCTAGTCCGGGCACCTGCAGAGAAATAAAAAAAGATTGGGTGTAGAAGCGTCATGCCGTGACCTCCTGGCACGCCTTGCCCTTCATTCGCACGTACATCTGCGAGTCTTTGCGCTCTCCCACTATGATGACTGCTAGTCCGGGCACCTGCAGAGGGGACTGAGCGGAACACGAACTCCTCCGGCTGAAAGGAGATCGCCACCTCCTGGCACGCTTTCACCTTCATCCTCACGTACGTCTGCAAGTCCTTGCGCTCGCCCACTATATCACGGCTAGTCCTGGGACCTGTGGTGACCAGGGACCAGGAGAGCACAATGGTTGCTGGGTAAGCTTTTCTGGCAGAAGGTTGCCTTGACCTCCTGGAACGCCTTCACCTTCAGTCGCACGTACGTCTGCGAGTCCTTGCGCGCCCCCACTATAATCACACTAGTCCGGGTGCCTGCAGCGATATAAGCACAAGATTGGGTGCAGAACCTCAAAGTTTAGAGTAGATCTGAAACAGAATGACAACGTTTGTCTGTGAGTCCTTGCGCTAGGCCAGGTCTGGTACCTGCAGGCGGTATAAGCACAAGATTGGGTGTAGAAGCGTCATGCCTTGACCTCCTGTCACCTTCATTCGCACGTACATCTGTGGGTCTTTGAGCTCAGAAGTCTGCTCGTCCTTGCGAATCAAAATACGGAGGTGGAACGGGAGGTGGAACGGGAGGTGGGACGGGAGGTGGGACGGGAGGTGAAACGGGAGGTGGAACGGGAGGTGGAACGGGAGGTGGAACGAAGACGTGCAAGTCCTTTCCCGCATCCTGCTTCAATAAAGCGACGTCAGCAGCCGCCAAGCCATGGATCCAGCTTCGGCTCAACCTTCGCCCTCAAATCCGCTAAAAGCTTGCCCACATTACGGCTCCATGGCTGCGACGAGCCCAAATAAAAAATGTCCACTCGGTATAAAAAATGTCCTCTCCTTCCCAGTGGCCTCTTTTAGTTTGGTCACCTTCGCAACAACCTCGCCATAAGTCTGCTGTGCGATTGCATTGCCATCGTTCAATACTTTAGTCATGGAGTGAGGCTGAACGCGCTCCTTTTCCCAGTGGCCTCCTTGAGTATGGTTACCCTAGCAACCATCTCGCCATGGATCTGCTGCGAGATGGCCTTGCCGTCGATCAGTATCGCAGTCATAATGTGAGAGTAGAATCCCCGCAACACTCACTTTTCCAGTGGCCTCTTTTAACTTCGTCACCCCAGCGGCCACCTCGCCATGGATCTGCTGCGAGATGGCCTTGCCGTCGATCACCTTCGCCACCACCTTGCCTTCGTCCGCCATTTCTACGCGAGGACGAATGCCGAATCTGCTTCCAGATGTTACGAACGCTAGGGAAAACAATGCCGGGTGACTTCCTCAAAATTGTAACCAGACGGCGGAGGTGTCTGCTGAACGTTGTCTGCTGGAACAATGTTTGCTGAATGATGTTTGATGGGATGATGTCTGCTAGGAATTTGACAATGCCACGGACAGGACTAGGGGTGTACTGGAGCTTTGGTCCCAGCCAGCTGGACGGAATTCCCAGTGTGATGGGGAGGTGGGAGGAGTTGCCTTGGCTGTCAGAAATTTGGCGGGAAAGCCTAGATTTGGCTTGGATGAGGGGAGTGGATGACAGCAGGAGCAGTTTTGCCCAAGGTTCGTTCCAGCAGTGTGGCCATTGAACTCTCGAGGAGGGGTGCTTTTGATACGAGATTTCCTGTGTTTACCAAAGCGCGAGTTCTGAAAGAATCGGGGCTGGTTTGCCAGTTTGTTTGGACTAGGTGTAACCCTCTTGGCAGTCAAATCTCTCCACGAAACGCGATCAGTGCGACGAAAACGAACCTATCATGAGCACAAATAGTACCTACAAAAACAATAATTTATCCTGTAACATCCAATGTTCACCAAAAGTTTCTCGAACCATTTAGATTCACCCCTGCGAGGCCACACGACAAGGCTCGAAACTAGGGCAACGAGGTTACACGACATCGTAGGTTTCGCGTGCCCACCAAGACAGCCTGAAGTCGATCCAACATGCTACGTGGTAACCCCAGCTAAACCTCGAGATTCAAAATTCCTGCTTTGAAACGCTGCCCCAAACCAAGGATCACATGAAGTGTCTTGGGAACTCCACATAGTCCACCATACCTCAACTGAAAGCTAGGTGCTGTCAGAGGAGCAGCTCGCGCAGATAAATCGTCTCCCTTTCTCTTTCCTCTTTCGCTCAAACTCTCACGACGTCCACTTTTTAGGGTGATTCAATTATTACCCATTGTATGTTGTCCGTGCTGACCTGCGATTACCCACGAACGCCTGCGATCTCTTGAGATTGCTGAAGACCTGCTGATCAACGTTCACGATCTTGCATGGCCCGAAAAGGTTGACATGCGTAGGCCAGCAGCAACGTGACAAGACGCAATTGGGAGGAGTTTTTTATAATTCTGGATCCTTTATAGTTCCATAGTTTCTCCGTGAATCCGCGAGACCTAAGACTGTAAAATGGCGTCTGTTGGCCCGATCAAAGGCAGGAATCACGGACTCGCGGCGAATTCTTACTTCACAGGTGTCAACATCCACGGCTCTACTTTCAGGTCTGTTCACGCCCCCTTGATCTGTTCACGCGCCTTGATCTGTTCACGCGCCCACTCTCTTCGCCTCCCTCGAAGCGAATTCTTACTTCGCGGGTGTCAGCACCCATGCTTCTACTTTCAGGTCTGGTCAAGCAGTCTGGTCTTTCTCAGGTATGAACCCTTTTCCCCCTACTACTTATTTAACCTTCACGTATGCACCTGTTCCGTGGGACGTAAGGAAAATGACCCTCGTTGAAATCAACGTGAAGTCAACTTCTTTTTTCGCTTCTCTCTTGCGATCCGATGCAGGTCTGCTGTTCTCTCAGGTCGCCTACACTCCAGCCTCTTCCCAACCACCACCATCAGCAGCAGCAGCAGCAGCCTCAGCTGCAACACCCGCATCAGCAGCAGCGATCCCCTCTCCATTCTTCCCCACTCCGTCCTCCCCCTCATAACTCGCCCCTCTCTCCTCGCCTCCCACTCATCCCACTCCTCCTCCTCATCCCCCTCACCCTTCCTCTCGCATCTCCTCCCCGTCGCCCACTGCCGAGCCGAAACAGTCTCGGACCAATCCTTCCAGCCACGGGCTTACCAAGCCTTGCGGACAGGCTCGGAAAGAGGTCTTCCAAAGGAGCGGAGCAACGGGAAGGAAGGGGAGGGTTCTGATGATGACGATGGTAAATCTAGTGCTGACGTCAGCAAAGCAGCTAACGTCATCACAGAACGAGTGAATGGGAAGGTGTATACCGTGAAGCTGAGATCCCTCTACTCCGCCTTCTGTCCACGTGGCATGCTGATAATGGCTGTGCGAAACAGCCTTATCCAGATCCTCCCCCTCTTTGCGGATTACCTAGAGGCTCAGGCTCCCAGTTTAGAAGAGGAGGATGAGGAGGAGGAGGAGGAAGCGTTTGAATATGGTCAAAGTGGGGGTGGGGTGGAGGGGGCGTATGGGGAACTTGTAGCGAGAAGGGAGGCAAGGAGGGAGAGGGAGAGGCGGAGGGAGGTTGAGGCAGCGGAGAGGGAGAGGAAGATAGCAGCGTTTCGGAGCATGGATGCTGGAAAGGTTGCTGCAGGCACACTGTGGCTGTCGCTGAGGGAGGTACGTGGGGCTGGATGCTTGATGGGAAAAGCGTGTGCGTGTGAGTGAGTGAGTGAGTGAGTGAGTGAGTGAGTGAGAGGGAGAGGAAGATAGCGGCATTTCGGAACATATAGATGCTGGCAAGGTTGCTGCAGGCGCACTGTGGCTGTCTCTGAGGGAGGTACGCTGGAAAGCTGCTGCCTGGTAAGAGATGGCTGAACCATACCATGTCGAACCATGCCATACCATGTCGAAACATGCCATACCATGTCGCACCATGCCATACCATGTCGCACCATACCATGTCGCGCACCATACCATATCGCGCCATGCCATACCATGTTGCACCATGCCATACCATGTCGCACCATGCCATACCATGTCGCACCATGCCATACCATGTCGCACCATGCCATACCATGCCATGCCATACCATGTCGCACCATGCCATACCATTTCGCACCATTCCATACCATGTTGCGCCATGCCATACCATGTCGTGCCATGTCATGCATGTCCCTCGCACGTCCTTGTCGTCACACATGCCCTTTCGTCCACTCTCCCCCTCCCCCACTCCCCCCTCAGATGGCACTCATCGCAGTGCGCAGAGCCTTGGAGCACTTCTATCTAACAAGCACAGTCCCTCGCACATCCTTGTCGTCACACATGCCCTTTCGTCCACTCTCTTCCCCCCCCCTTTCCTCCTGTCCCTCGCCCCCCTCAGATGGCAGTCATCGCAGTGCGCAGAGCGCTGGCTGGAGCACTTTTATCCGGATGATTCAAGAACCGTCCCCCCACCCCCCCCCTCTTCCCTGCACGCCCCGTTTCCTTCGCCCCCCTCCCTCTCCCCCCATCAGATGGCAGTCATCGCAGTGCGCAGAGCGCTGGAGCACTTCTAGTCTTCTACCCAGATAATTCAGGAACCGTCTCCCCAACCCCCCCTCTTCCCTTCTCGCCCCGTTTCCTTCTCCCCCCTCCCTCTCCCCCCATCAGATGGCAGTCATCACAGTGCGCAGAGCCTTGGAGCACTTTTATCTGGTTCCCTCTGTCTCTGTCCGCTGGCTCTGGAAGCTCACTAAAGGTCAGTTGTTCTAAGGGGGGGGAAGTGAGGCACGGAGCTTACCAAAGGTCAGCTTACCAAAGAAGAGAGGCGCTCTTCGTATCTGGTTCCCTCCGTCTCTGCCCGCTGGCTCTGGAAGCTCACTAAAGGTCGGTTGTTCTAGGGGGGGGAAGGGAGGCACGGAGCTTACCAAAGGTCAGCTTACCAAAGAAGAGAGGCGCCCTTCTTATCTGGTTCCCTCCATCTCTGCCCGCTGGCTCTGGAAGCTCACCAAAGGAGCTGTTCTAGGGGGGGGGAAGCGAGGCACGGAGCTTACCAAAGGTCAGCTGTGCTAAGGGGGGGGAGGGAGGCACGAAGCTCACTAACGGTCGGTTGCTTCCATGGGAGCGAGGGGAGAAGGGTGAACGAGGGCACTTCAGACCGTCAAGGATGTGTTTTGTTTCCAGATGGGGTTGGATCCGGATGGGTTCGGTCGATCGGCCCGGGCCCGGTACTTAATACCTTAAAGAATTCTCAAGAACAGAACACATGCTTGAAGGGAGCGAGGGGAGAAGGGTGAACGAGGGTACTCCAGACCTTCAAGGTGCCCTTACGAGAGAAGGGGGCACTTTTATCTGATTCCCTCTGTCTCAGTCCGCTGGCTCTGGAATCTCACTAAAGGTCAGTTGTGTTTCTTGGGGGAAATGGGGAGAGAGAGGACGAGGGGGGGACGACTCAGGGAGGGGGGTAATAGAGGGGAGGGGGTTAATTGAGGGGAGGGGGGTAATAGAGGGGAGAGGGGTAATCGCGGGGAGGGGAATAGAGTGCGTCTGTTCCCTCACCCGGCTCACTCTTTTTCTTGCTTTTGCTGGGTGTTTTTGAGGTGACTTTTGAGTCGACTCAAAAGTTTCCTTGCTCTTGCAGGGTGTTTTTGAGAATTCTCAAAAACACCCTGCTCTTCTCCCTCCCCCCGCCCCCCTTTGCCCCCGTTTTTTTCATTTCCGCTTCAGCCATATCTTCCCATCTCTTCCCTTCCCATCTCACACTTTACCTAGCAATCCCTCGCGCCTCTCCCCAACCCATCTGCTTTGCCTTTCGCAAGGTTGCCAGGGGAGGATTCACGGGCACTTTAATCACCACATCTCTTGCCTCTCCAACGCCCCTTCGTGTTGAGAATTCTAAAGAATCACCAGGGGATTCACCGGCACTTTAATCACCACATCTCTCGCCAATCCAACGCGCCTTTATTCGCAGGCACGTCATCTCTCTGCCTTTCCCAAGGTTAATCTCTCGCCTCTCCAACGCCCCTTTCTCTCTCCAGACCCCACCCAGTCAGCCACTCGCAAGGTTACCAGGGGAGTCGCAGGCACCCGTTTAATCACATCCGTTACAGTCACGAACGTCAGAGGTACGATCCCTCCCCCCTCCTTTTTCTTGTAGTTAGCACAAGTCAATGTATCCCTTTGTACCAGTGAAGTTTGTACCATTGTAGAGGCCATCTATTCCCCTGTCGTGAGGAGTCTCTTTTTGAGGCGCTTCAAAAAAAGCCATCTATTCCCCTGTCTCTTCTCCCTTTCTCCCCCCCTGCCTCCTCTCCTCCCTCCTCTTCTCCCCGTTCGCTCCTCCTTCCTTCACTCCCCACCAGCCCTCTTCCTGTCCCCATTACCCAGTGTTGCCGTGCAGTTTGCTTCGCCTGATCATTCACCAAATGAGTAGTTTTCTCCTTTCCTCCCTCCCTCGCCCTCCTCCCTCCCTCGCCCTCGTCCCTCCATCGCCTCCCCTCCCCTCCCCCACTCCACTTCCTGAGCCCACTATCCAGTGTAGCAGTGCAGCTTATAACGGGCGTCCTTCCTTCTGTCTCCCTGTCCCTCTCCCATCGCCCCTTCCCTCCAGCCCACTT